GACTGTACTAGTCAGCGTTCGGCTCACCAACCTCATTCATCACTGACAATTGGTGGACCAGTTCGTTATGATATTGTTGAACTATAGCCTACGAGTTCAAGTTACAGGTAAGGTAAGAAGATAGGCGCTTCGTTGAAGTGGGAAAAGTGAGCGCCAATCGTCCGTGCACTAGGGCATGGTCGGAATGCAGGCATGTGATCCAAATTGACCGACAGTCTTGGAATGATGTGCGCCACTTGTAGCTGACGGCAATATGGTCAATTTGGATCCAGGTCGATGAGAAATTCGGTGGGCGCCAGGTGACGCGGTGCTGCTAATACAGTCAAACCTGTCTAAGGCGACCACTCAAGAGACCGACAAAAGGTGGTCGTTTTGGACAGGCGGTCGCGATGGACAGATTCATGCATAGGGATATAATTATGGAAGAGAACGTTGGGTGTATTTTTGGCTGGTCGCCATAGCAGGTTGGACTGTGGTTGGCGCACAGTTGCAGGAATCGATCACCATTGTCTGTTCGGCGTGCATCCACTCCGAATCGCCCACACAGGTGTCGTCTGGGAGACGACGCACTTGGGCATTCAATTCACCAGTAACAGTCACGATGTCAGTGTTCTTCGTCATACGGAGAGAAGACGAAAGAAATCATCATTGGTATCCTCCGAGCTGCAGTCAGTAGGAGCATAAACGGAGGCGATGAAAAGGCACCTTGTCTTCATACAGTGCTTATTAATCCCAACAAAGGTTCTAAGTTGAACCGCACAAATGCGGCTGTTCACCGGTATCCAACAGAGTAGATTATCTTCAGTATGTCTGCCGAGGATGATACCAACACCATAAATACCTTGATTCATTGACTTGGTATCACCGGAGACGCGAAGAGTGTAGTCGCTGTCAGCAGATTAGGAAGCAGGAAGTCGAAGATTGGTCACGACGCCGTTATCTTGTATATGTGTTTAGGAGACAGCACATACCGATACCAAGAGAGGGAACAGTAAGAGCCAGTGCTGCCTGTTGACCGATCTGACCCAAAGTGCGGACGTTAAAAGAACCAATGCGAAATGAGACTCGTGGTTTGATGGACGATTTACGAATATCGATGGCAGCAACTGCGAGGTCGGTGGTAGATTCTTACTTAATAGACAAGGAAGAAGAGAGTTGGGAGAAAAATAGGAGGAAGAAAAGAGAGAAGTGTCGAAGTGGTCAAGAGGGCAAATGATACTCTCCGGCTGCCTATTCTGCGAGAGGGGCTTCGTTCGAGGTGTCTTTAGACTCTGACTCAACAGCCTGACCCACAACGCAGTAGAGAGCAAGTCCAGCTTGGGGGTGTGATTGTACAGACCCATTGGGATCTGCTCGAGGCCTGTCACACACAGCCTTTGAAGATTTGGAACAATCCACATGTATTTTACGATCGTATTACATAACGCACCTGCGACCACGGCCAACCGCAGGTGGGAGTTCGTGGGTTTGCACCAATATGACTAGGGGACGCCTGGCTTGTGGCGGGCGGTAGCAAACTGTTAGAGCACCGGAAGGTGTCCTCCTATCGCCAGAGACAATGCGTGGCGCTCGTGCTCTACGCCAACCGAGCTGTGAGCTTATAATCCGTAGACCTGATGTCGCCTATGGTTAGGTTTTAAAGGAAGAGGGCCATCAACCTCTCCATAACCTCCGAAGAAGATTGGATTGTAAAAGTGAGTTTGTCTGACCCCTGACCATTGACCTGTCTGGCAGGAGTAGCACTGACGGCATTTCGAAAGTGCCAACCAACATAGCTAAATGGATCACGGGGGTACGCGAACCATTTCACGAGTCGCTTTGCGATGGACACAGACTAACGACACGCGGTGTTTACGCGCCGGGGTGTGGGTAGAAGAAGAGGAGAGGAGGCCAAACAATGAGTTAGTCAAGTGGTATGAAGTCCCACACTTCGAACTTGGCGTCGGCTGGTGTCTCTCGATTGGCAGGCTGGGGTCCGAAGGACGATGATCACCTTTGATTGGATACACTAGTTGACACAGCGAAAAGCCGACCCCAATGGCGCATGGGTTGTAGGTTTGTTTATCCCTACTCCGAACACGTTCCTACACATGATGCGTAATATGATACTATGCAATATATCACTCCATTGTTTTTATATTGTATTCTGCAATGTTTTGTAAGAGGCTATTTCCATATGTCTTATCTTTTGGTGTTGCGGCACGTGTGATGACGGGAATGATGATGCGTAACACATAAAAAAGTAATCGGAGACTGGTAAAGTAATGATGTTGAGAAAAAGTTGAGCGGATCGCAGCATCGTAAATTTCAAGGTTCAGGATGACATAGATGACACCATAAATGGTGAACTTAAGCAAGAACGCCACCAGCATCAGCTATAAGGTTTGTGATTTATTCTTCTATTCAACAGGGGTTGACGTAGTTGCCCATGCAGCTGAGTATACAGACGAGTTCCACCACCACCACCACCACTAATCCTCAAAGGGTCAGAATACGGGGTGGTCCTCGTCAATCTTAAAGAAACGCTTTGAATGTTGAGGATGAGGACCAAGGGTCGAAGGAGTGACAGTCAGGGCTAATCTGTTCAATTCTGCTTGGTAAGTTTATAAACTGTTATAGATTAATACGATATGATCGGTGTGCATCAAGTCTAGAATTCGAACAACCGGAAGCAACTCTACACTTAGACCGAGTCCGGTTAAAATCATTTCTATGACGTCATCAATAGCAAAGCTGGAATAGCAAGAGTCTTAGTTGAAACACGCTGCACATATTAAAGGGTAGTGACGGCTTACCATAAGCTTTAACTGTATCAAAACCACGCGTTTACTTATTTGTCGAGGAATTCAAAGGGGCATATCAATCTGCTGATGAATAAAACAAGGATGGGTCGCCAGTATAAGTGGCGCAGATTCAATAACTGGAGTAAAGTGAAGACGTGGGTAATGCAGCCATGATTTTAAAGTAACCCGAGTTCCTTTACAAGAATCTCACCTTCACGAGTGCCAGTCGGTCGGCGAAGAATGACGAAGACAAGCAGCTTGGAAACGATAGAGATCAGACGAATACGTTCATGATAGATGCATTCCGAACGTGCGCCGCCCATGAAAATGGGGGCTGTAACGGGGCAGCTTCAGTCAGTTGGGACAGTGTCCCACTCTGGCGTTTTCACTAGTATACCGTGAAAATCATCTATGATAGCAAGCCCATCGGGTCCAGTAGCGTTATTCAATTTCGACAGCCCGATTTCACGCTCGACATTTCCGTTAGAGGGCGAACCCAAATGGACGGCCTAGGGTGAAGGCAAGTTACTAGACGTCAAGGAATCTCGTAGTTTTGAGTGATTAAACTACTTTGACTAGTGCTTGCCCCACGTTCCAAATGATTTGCAAAGGCTGCCAAATGTAGTCGTGCATAGTTTCGCTAATACCAAGTCCCTGCTACTCGTTTCCAGCACTGGGCAGAATAATTTACGCTGATTACCATAGGACAGAACGGGTTTATCCACGACACGCCTTGAGACTATCAGACTAACACGTAATATCGCTCTGAGATTTTTGTGAGCCTCGCCGTATTCGCATCTAGTCATAATTGCAACAAGTACCAAAACATTTCAGAGTGTACGGATGCCCATTACCCATGCAACTAATCAGACTTGCGATAGGAAGGCATAGCTGCTGCTAATGACGACTTGTAATCTGAAAACGCGGGTTCGAGCCTGCATAGGGACTGGGCGACCCTCGCAGTATCCTTAAAACAAGAACGACTGGTGGTGGTTGCGTTGCAGCGAAGCGTCAGTATTGCGTACCGGCGTACTGCTGACATCCTTCCCAAAATATGACCAGAAACATTCAAATATGTCCAATGAGAACCTAATCAACACATCAACGCAGACAGACAGCGCACCTTGTTACGTAGTAAGAGCATGTGGCTTCGCTGGCCGTGAATTTACCTAAGTGTTAACAGCGTCGTCGCGAGCATTCACCGAAACGCACCAGTAAATCAGCAAGTGAATGGTCGGAGTAACGTATTTTGTGATAAATCGAGTGGCAGTTTCGAACGCAGCCCCCAATGGTAAGTGATCGCGATGTGGTCGATTCGCGCCCATGGCTGGTCGGAGTCACCCTGTGGCGGGTGCCGTGTCAAAATTTTGTGATTGAGAAAAATACATGGGCGTCTGCACAAAAACATAGCAACTGCTCACTCTTGTCGTTATGGCAGTCTACGTCGCGTTGAAAGTTCAGATGGAGCAGATGATTAGAAAATTTTACATCCTGAGCGTTCAGACCATCAGCCAACACTACAGCATAGGTACCCATCTGTGAGGAGGAGGTAATTGTCCAACTGACCACATAAGTCATGTTTCACGGAGTCAATGTTACAGTTGTTGAGGACATAAGCCGTACTGAAAAACATTCGCCTGTTGTCCCTGCGTCACTAAGAAACTAGGAAAAGTCCGACCAGTCTGAAGACAGTTGACTGCTATGGAAGAATTAGTTAACAACCAGATCCTTTGGTTCAACGATGAAGAAAGAGATCTTATCAGGACGCCGATGCTGCGTACCGGCGCTTTGCTACCATGTGACTGCCACTAGTAGTGCGCAGACTAGGCACACTGCGAGATCAGTCGCTTCTAGGCGGATTCGCACCAGTGATTTTTGCGGTATAATGCAAACCTGCATCAGAAAACATGGCCGCAGAGCATGAGTCCGGCAGCAGGGTTACAAGTAATTTATTTTTAAGGATTAAGGAGACAACGCCATTGCAACCCCAAGTATGAAGGATCAGGAGGCTGAGTTTGTTTGGGCTCTAACCACTGACGAATCTGGCGTGAGTAGTTCAGAAGGTGCAAGAGACACCACTCAGCAAAGATCCAAGGGTAGTTAAGGCACGCAAACCATCCCACTGCGTCAAGGCTCTTGTTGGTAAAAACAATGAAAAGCGGACAAAAATAATTTCCGATTAGGCAATGAAGTAATAAGAATGCGTATCTGACATACCGAACCAGCCAATTCAAGACGATCAGAAAGTCGCTGAAAGAGACTAGCTGAAAAACATTTGCCCCAATTGGATATTAGACCGTGGAAGGCAAAGTCCTGAACGTCGTATCCGACAGCGAAATTGGCTCGTTGTACTGACCGGCTTGAGCTGTCTAGTTTGAGATCCAGGCCCACAAGGTAACCCATGTGGCTGAAATGAAGGGTAAAAGAGAGAGAAAATGAGGACAACAATAAAGGCTCATGAAACGTATCAACACTCTAAAGTGGAGTACTGAGTAGCGCAAAGTACATAAAGAGTATAATATTGCGAAACACAATAGGTCGTAGCAGTTACGCGCTAGGAAGTGCTCCTTACAACCGTTCTGTCAAGAAGGCGCAAGTAGGCTGAACATAAGGCTACCCGGCCTTAGGAACATCAAGATAAAAGGCACCAACCGCACACCAGAGCTGGATAATGATGCTTCCCTGTCATGCATACGCAAACGACTGTATGCAGACTGGTACAGTGAAGGTGTGCCAAAACATGCAACAGCGGGGGGCCGGAACCCGGATCTAAGAAGTCTCATAGTGGACGAACTTCGGATTTAGGCAAAGGATTTCAGCTGTCTTGCACCAAGCATGTCGAATATGGAGATTCATTACATGGTTGACTGACGATTGATCCTCATGTCGATAGAAGGCAAACTAGTACACCACATGCCAGCAGCGCGAAGTTGACTATTCCGTGGTTAGAAGAGGGCTTTTGGCTGCCCTGCGATTGCTGAACAGTGGGACATCGTTTACATAACTCAAGGCGTAATCTCATACACTTAACTGTCTTTGTGAATAGGTAGGCCTCACACGGCCTATAAGTACGCGTGACGAAATTCCCTGAACCGACGACCTTCGCGAATGCGAGTCGTGGCTTCTCAACACAAATCTAGAAATACCTGATTTCATTGTGGATGAGTGGTACAAGACGTTTCTATGCACCGCTTGTAAAACCCCCTGGAACAGCTACCGGACAAAACTGATCACTAACCTGAGTGTACTCAAATAATCAGGGGAAATCGTGGACGTTATGCTTTCTTAACAGTGTAAATACTATGAAGTGGTCAACACACTGTCTTATTGTGTCGTTCAATGCATCAATAATATCAAAGCAACAGAGCAAGTCTGGTGCGCCTGTATGCTTCACTATAGGTTAATGTTCCGAGCACTCAAGATTTTGTTACAGGGATCAAGCGTCCCCACAAGACCTCAGGCGGGACCACGCAAGATCAGTGCAAGTTACGATTAGCCCCATACGCAAGAAACATTTCCGGCCAAGTCCCATCAAGTATCGACATTCAATCGGATCATGTTCTGTTATTGACCCTTGCTATTTTCACATATTGTCAGTTCGCTCGCTTCCAATTACCGACATTCATTTTCCGTTAATAGCTCAAGGGTCAAGTTACTTAATTAAGACTTGCTTACCATTCAACGTTAAAATGTCATTTCGCCAATTGTCGTATATAACCAAGGCTGGATTACGCTGTAATTGCTTGCTCTGACGAGTAAAGTGCCTGGGGCGAAGGGTCTATCTTTCGTGCATATCTCTCAGTTGGAGTTGCGTGTGAAGTCTGTGCGCTTAGAAGCGTGTTGTGCCAAAGTCTCGCGTTTTGTTCGAAACCAAATTCTGTCAGCGACTTTCCGTGCGGCATACCATTCTGTCTCATGTTCGTTAATCGCCGGCCCCTAGGTTTAAGGATCACAAACCTGACTAGTAATTAGAGGGCGCGGGTTCGAGCTTGCGTGGGTAACGGGCGACCCTCGCAGTATCTTCAGCCCACGCGCGACTGGTACCGGTTGAGCAGCAGCGAAACGTTGGTACTGCGTACCGCCGTACTGCTGAGGCCTTACGTTCGTTCATCCCCCTAGGAGAGTCGTACTAATCCGTAATACACAGCGCGACAATGAACCAAGTTGTAACAAAATAGCGACGGGATGTTTAAAACCATGGAAAATGCGTACAACGATTTTAAGACGCTGTTCCAAAAGCAGCTCAGTTTGATTACCGCACTGACCAAGAAACGCTAAAGTTCTTCCATTCAGTCGGGTCCCGCTGGCAATCCACAGTCGGACGATAATATCGCTGGCAGTATCTCAAAGTTTCTCTACGGTCCCAGCGCTCAATTCACCTGCAATTCTTGGCACAAACGGTACGAGGATCACTTCACTGTTGAATTCGCTTGCCAGGATGACGCTTGAAAGGTCCCGACCGCTTATGCGTAAATCTGGCACGGTCGGTCATCAGCGGTACATCAGCTTCATCTTACCAAAGAATACCCGGGACGCTATCTTTGACGAGACGGTCCGCATACTGTCGCAGATTTTCGGCAAACATAAGGTTCCAATGTCTCAAGCTGGTAAAACGGGATGAAGACGACCTCATCAGGTACGCGGGCATTGTGAATCGGGAGTGAGAACGGTTCCAACTTAGCTCCCTTACAGAAGACTGGTTCAAGTGCCTGGTTTACATTGCTGGCCTCCAGTCCGCCCATGATGCAGACATCCGAACGCGTCACTTGTCCAATTAACATCATCACAACAGCAGCACATCAGCCATTTGAATTGATGCTTTGCTGCCATACAACCATGATCTACGGGACGAAGAATATAGGAGGGAGAGAACGGGGAATTACGGGAAAAGCCTAATGCCCTAAACAACGATTCAGGTTCAATGTGCCTAGACCTTGTTAACAGCAATCCGTCACAAACAGCTGGCTAGCGTGCAAAGATAAGGCGGTGTCGGCGACACAGATTCCATGCGGGCTTTCACTGCTCCGTTTCATAATCATCCATTACCCCGCAGATAACTCAGCACCAAACACACTTTAAACGCAGTTCGACTAGGAGACGGCAGCAGACGCGCCACTGGTGCTCACTGCGAGCCAAAACCTGTAATGTCTCGAGACAAGCACATAGACTTCAGCCTAGAAGGGGGAGACGGACCGAGGGCGCCAAGTCTGGTCATCAGTGACTTCATTTCCCGCTGCCAAGTCAACTTTTTCGACATCGAGCCTTGCGCCACCTATATCTGGCAGAGTAAACAAAGCCCTCCTAGGTAAGCGGTGACTAGGCATACGTAGCACGTGCCCAAGCCAACGCAACTTATTCAGTGTTATCTGTTGTTTTAAGGAACTAGTTCGGTTGTCACTGCCCAGTACTTGCTTACGCACATTATGGTTGCGGACAAGCTGGTGCCACCCGACATCAGCAATACTCCGCAGACAGCGATGATGATCATTATCATTATACACGTTAGTTGCAGGTGGAAAATACCTCAGCTATTGTGCCGTAATACAAAATAAAAGAGAAAAAAGGGGCAGGCAAACCGGGTGAGTCACCAGTAACGGATAGAAATAGTTGTGCCGCAAAAAAGGAGTTATATTATTTTTAATGAATGATATCGTGGTGGAAGAGAAAGGCTAAGCCGCAGGGGGAGGGACAAAGAAAGCTACAACAAACTGCATTGAGGTCGGCTCCTAGCCATGTCAAAAAGTGTATCCAGGCAAAGGAGTTCATACAGCGATGATCAAAGACTTGAAGGCGCATCAGATACTCAGACCAAAGAGGCCAAGTCTCACTACCATACAGTTGAACGGCTTTCACTGTGGCCGTGCACACACGGTCTTTCAGACGGAGGCAAACTTTCTACTGTCACCAAGATGTCGCAAATTTAAGGCGATCCTGGCCTTCGAAATGCGTAAACTGGCTTCAGTTTCTATCCGCCCATCGTTGTTGATGCAGTTGCTAAGGTAAGTGAATCGATCAACTACCTCGAGTCCCTCGTTACCAAGGATCAAGAGGTCATCAAGTGGCTGGTGGTCCTGCAGCAACACTTGGCACTTTGAAGGTACGAAGTGCAAACCAAATAATTAGAAAACTCCAGTGAGGCTACTCAGGGTTGATTGTGCCGTCGCAACATTGTTAAACAGCAAGACGATATTGTCCGCATAACCAAGATCAAATAACCTTTCACTACACAGGACCTCGTGAGGATCCACGAAGAAAAACTCTATGAAGTAGTCCACGATGAAATTGAACAAAAGTGGGGAAGTTGGACAACTCTGACGAACGCCACTTGATGTCGGAAAGCTATCGGACAGATCACCGTAGACCCTGACGCGGCTTGTAGGGTTCGAGTATAAAGCATGCAAAATGCTCTCATATTTAGTGGGAACACTTTGCCGCATAAGTATTTCGAAAAGAATGTATCGATCGACTGAGTCAAACACATCCTTGAAGTCCAGGAACACAGCTATTGTCGGCCTGCGGTATGCGTGGCGCTGCGCTAGCACCTACCGCAGAGTGAATATATGGTCTACACAGTAACGTCCCGTGAGCAGACCTGCCTGCTCTTACGTGATATGGGATTAATTCCGCAGTGAGCCGAAGAAAGAGAATTAAAGCCAGTAATTTTGTCAACAACGGCCTTAGGCCAATACCCTTGCGGTTAGCACAGTCGGTGCGACTGTCCTTCTTCTATGACGCCACTATGATCGATGCGCTCTAGTTAGCTTGGACGGTCTCTTCCTTCCAGACCCGGCCGAACAGGAAGGTCAGTGCTTTGTAGATCACCTCACCTCCATCCTGAAATCGTGCGGGTGGGAGGAAATCCGGGTCAGCAATACAAAAGCGATTGAGGGCTGTGATTGCGTTTCGGACCACCGCCCCCGACGGAGGCACTAAACTAGCCGGCTATGGCTTATACTGCATCACCTGAGTAGGAACAGGTCCGGCAACAGGGGACAACTTAACTGATCTTGAAAGTGCTCTACCCAACGAGCCATACGGCGCAGCTTAGTGCGAATCGGAGTACCCGTGCTGTCTTTGGTCGTCTCGCTGACGCCTCGTCTCATGGGATCAGTGGTGCGAATCAGCTGGAAGATCTAGCGATAACTGCCTAGTGCTCGCGCTTCCTCTATTTCTTAAGTTCGACTGGTGCCCCCTCTTGCCCCTAAAAATGCATGAAAAAATTTTAAAAACTGTGAGTGGTAAACTGGACAAAAATTTGCTAGCTGTTCTTTTACTTCCCATCCATACTGTTTTCCTATTCCGCCATATGGTTGGCGGCATCCGGTTCCGGATTTACCTCTCACTGTGGCCTCCAAGGGGACAGCCACAGGACGCCTGTACCTACAGAGGGACCACGGGTGGCTTGCGCTGAAACATCCACACACTCCATTATCCAGTGTAAAACAGAAGGAATGACTGAGAGGCATGTTGATTGGAGCCAGGTTTCATCAACGGAGCCGGTCCACACTCCTTCACAGGCAAACACGATCACAATGCATTTGGGGAATCAATCGCACACAAGGCGGTGGCTGAACCGTAGTCCGCTCCACATTGAGTGCATGGAATCACTCTTCGAGCTCAACAAGATCAAGAGGACTGTGCACCCCGTCCCCTCCAGCAACGACCAACTGTCTG